AACGTGCGTCAGATCTTTGACATCTATTCCTCGGGCAGCGACATCGCTAGCAATCAAAAGAGCAGAAGGAGTTTTATGAAAATTTTCTAAAGTTTCTGATCGGATTTTTTGAGACAAGTCTCCGTGGAGTTCCAAAGGGGAGAGTCCGTGTTTTTGGAGACTTTTGAGCACATTTGCGATATCGCGTTTACGATTACAAAAGACAATCGATTTTTTTGGAGATTCTTGCACAATCAGTTGTGTGAGATCTGAAATTTTATTTTTTTGGGTTGTATTCAGTAAGAATTGGTCAATGGTTTCTGCTGTTGTGGCTGGAGGAGAAATTGTGATTTCTTCTGGGGCTTTCAAAAATTGATCTGCGAGCTTTCGGATCGGAGCAGGCATTGTTGCAGAGAAAAGCAGCGTGTGTCGTTGTGGATTTGGCAACGACTTTGCAATGCGTTCTACATCGGGAATAAAACCCATATCTAACATGCGATCTGCTTCATCAATAATCAAAAATTGGGTTTGCGCAAGAAGAAGACGGCCTCTTTCAAATAGATCTAAAAACCGACCTGGTGTTGCGATTAAAACATCTGGGCCTTGAGCGAGTTCTTTTTCTTGTTTAAGGAGGGATTCTCCACCAATAAGCAGGCAGGATTTTAACGATGTTCTTTGAGAAAAATCTTTGAATGCTTTTTGGACCTGGAGTGCGAGTTCTCGGGTGGGTTCCAGGATGATCTCTCTTGGCATAAGGGCGCGGCCAGAGGATTTTAAGAGGTGATGTAAAAGAGGAAGCAAGAAAGAAGCTGTTTTTCCGGTTCCTGTTTGAGCACAGCCGACAATATCTTTTTTGTTTAGCGCTAAGGGAATAACACGTGCTTGGATTGGAGTCGGTGTTTCAAAACCCAGCGTGTCAAGTGCTGCAATTATTTTAGGGTCCAAGCCCAGTGTATGAAATTTTGAATTTTTAGCCATGTTCCTTATCTAGAGCACTTTTAAACAATTGCAAGTTTTTTTAGGAATTAAGAGGTGAAAGGATAAGGGATGGATTGTAGAGAACCCTTGCGATAACCTTCAGCTCTATACGGGGAGAACAAGGACTTAGTGCCGCTTTTTCACCCAGTAATAAAAATAATTTTAATGGGAGGTTTTTTGCATATGAAGTCTACTTTGTTGATTTGTAGAAGTTTTTTTTGTGGGTGCTTTTTATTTGCACTCTCAATGAATAGCTCTTCTGCATCTCAATTGGATGAGGATTTTTCAGGAAGCCATAAAAGGTGGTATGAGACTTTTGTAGGTTCTTTTAGGGAGAATGCGTACTCAACAGTATTGGCTTCGGTTGTAGATCGTTTCCCAAATCATTGGATTGAGACGGTAATCACGAGGCAGCAATCCTCCTCTAATCGTCGATTAAAATTTTGGGATACCTTTCTCGCACCTATCAAAGCGAAGGTGTAAGGGGGCTCTATAGAGGTTTTGGGGGGGCGCTTGCCGGAGCACCATTTGTTCGATTTTCTTGCTATGGTGTTTACAATGTTTGTAAAGAAGTTTTTGAGGAGTATGGACACACTAAGACGCGTTTAGAAAATTATACAATAAGCTCAATTCTGGCCTCTTTTGGGGAAAGTATTTTTCTTTGGCCGATTGAATCTTATCGAACTTTTAAGGTCTTAGGTGTTGAGACGAAAAATCTAACATTAAGACAGGTTTTAAGGGGATATATCCCCACGCTTGGTCGATCTTTATTTAGTACGCTTCCCACATTTATTTTGTCAGACTATGGGTTAGATTATTCTGACCCTGAAAGAAAAAGTAAGATCCTCCCTTTTATTTTAGGAACAGGGGCAGCCGCTTTTGCTCAGATTTTTATGGTTCCCGTAGATACTTTAAAAACACGTGTAATGAAAGATTGGCGTATGAATGAGAACACTCTTCAGCACTGCAGAGATCTTTATCATTACGGTGGCGCCTATAGTGGCTTTGTTCCACGGTTGTTTCGAAATGCTTTTGGATCAGGGCTTATTATCGGTGTTATGTCCCTTTGGAACTCAGCACGTGAACTTTCTTATAGCAATAACATTTGAAAGAGGTGATGTATGAGAAGGCTCAATAACACCTGCTAGAGTAAGCATACGTTACGTGTAAGCTTTTCTCCAGCAGGTATTAAAGATAATAGGCTATTAACCATGTGAACATTTAACGCCCAGCAGGTGCTTTTTAAAGGTGAGAGATTTTTCTTCTCCATCTAGAGCAATGCCAGAAAATTTTCCTGGTTTTTTTAAACCAGCTGTTCCAATGACGGTTGCTTCTTTTGAAAATATGTCTTCAAATCTCGCATTCTTAAGCTTGGTCATCTTAGAAGAGACCAGAATAGATGTGGAGCCATTTGGAGCAATTTTATAGGTACGGCCGTTTAGTAATCCTTGGGAATGACCGAGGGATCCCATTGCAGTATCTAAAGCCATATCACTTGGTATTATTTTAATTGTAAGCGCATCTTTCGTTTCATTTTTAATGTTAAGTTTTGTTTTTCCATAAGCATAGCTGCATGTTGTGAGTACTACAGCCATTAAAAGTATATTTAGTTTGTAAGTCATTTTTCTTACCTCTCTTTGTATTTCAGCCTAAGGGGAATTCTACCCAAAGCTACACCTAGAATAACATGAGTAGTATGAATTATTTCTTAAAAAAATAGAATATTTTAAGTCAACATTAGGCTTGATTTGAGGCACGGATACCTTTGACTTCTTTTTCTCGGATGCGAGCAAGGGTATCTGCAATACGGTCGATGCTGTCTGCAAGAACACTTTCTGTCATTTCAATCTCAATGTTTTTTGCAGTGACCGAAAATATACGGAGTAGTTGGAAAAGATAGTCAGAGAAAACTTTATGGCCGCAATGCTGACTGTTTCTTGATTTTTGTAAGGCGCAAGCTTCCAATACCTATAAAAACCAGTAGAATGCCGCCGAGTTGATTCAACGTAAGATGCTCTTCAAGCAATAAAAATGCTGCTAGTATTGTGACCACGGGCCCTCCCATGCTCAGTAAGGAAGATTTTTCACTACCAATCAGTTTGATCCCTTCATAGAGACAAAAGAAGGGAACAATTGTGCAAAAAATGGTAATAAAAACAAGCAAAAACCACCCCTTACTTGTCACAGACATAATGTCTTCAATAGAGCTCATAGTCAGAAAATAAAATGTCATCAGGATAAATGTGACTGAGTTTGTCAGACATGTAAAAAGAACACTTGGGATTTTTTTCATCACACTATGGCTGAGCATAATTTGACAAGCGTAACTCGCAGCGGCAACAATGGCAAAAACAATTCCGACAAAAGGAACAGAAACATGTTGGTCCATCACGCCCATTAAAATGATAATGCCTATTTCTGCGATAATAAAAGCCACAATATGGCTCCAAGATGGCCTTTTAAGTCGTATAAGGGATGTAAACAGCATGATGAATGCGGGATAGGTAAAGAGAATCATTCTCTCAATACTTGCGTTGATATAAGATAATGCGATGAAATCTGTGAGAGCACTAATAGCATACAGAAGCCCGGTGACTCCACATAATGCATAGTCTTTTTTTGATATATGAGAGAGTTTTTGCTTGAACCCCTTTACA